ATACACATTGAGAAATTCGGATGGCCCGGATGTCTTTAGCAGTCAACCAGCAAAGGGCAGAGCCCTGCTGGTACCAGAGGCAGGTGGCTCGAGTGCTGTTCACCCAGTCCTCACCTCGTGCCAAGACTCCGGGACCAGAAACAAGATAGCAATCACACTCCCTTGAAGTGCAATGCCTCTGAGCCTCTTGCCATGTATTGCCGAGGTGACTCACTGTACGCGTGGGTCCCACAGCTGACTCCACTGTTGGTCCCTGTACAAGTGTCCTGGGGCTGCCGTATAATAAGCCACCACAGACTGGGTGGCTTCAAACAAGAGAAATGCCTGCTCCCCCAAGTTCCCTGCCTCTCTCGCCATTGCTGGACTCGAAGGTGCACCCCTATAATGCCCGCCTTGAGCCTCCCTCTCTGCCCGAGTGCAGCTGCCCCTCTTCACTCGGACGGTGTCCCACCTTCCCTTGCGCACATCTTCATCACATCCGCAGAGGCGCATGGGAAATGTGTACCCTGCCAACAACCGTCAGGGGTATGAAACTTTTTGCACCAAAATAAACTTACCTTTTAATTCCATTTTCCACCAACTTTTTGAAGTGCCCTCGTATTTCCAAATGAGGACACATCCCTGGGCTCCAGCGGTCGGGACTCAGACCTTTCTTTTGGGGTGACCCAGTTCAACCCACACTGGTCACTGTCCGCATCGCTAAATGAGATGACCAGCATGGAGACTGACCACGGGCAGGGAACAGCGGAGCTTTGCTCCATCCCCTCATAGAGCTCTGGACGGGAGCAGGGAGGTGTGACGTCAGCCGGGGGCCACTCGGGCACGCGGGAGCCTGAGCTGTAGCACAGCGCCCCGGCCTTCCCTGCCCTGCTGAGCGCTGCTTTCTGTCCCCCCAGTTTCGAAACTGCATCTTGCAACTCTTCGGAAAGAAGGTCGAGGACAGCTCTGAGCTCTCCAGCGCCTCCAGAACAGAGGCTTCATCCGTCTCTTCAGTGTCACCTGCGTGACATCTGCCTCCCACCTGCCGCACCCACCGGGGCTTTGGCCACCCGTCCCCTCCTTCTCCATCCCCATGAAACAAATGTAATTTCTCTTTGCTAAAACCGAACACGTCTCCCACATTGCCACTGCACTTCGGGCTGTCTGGGCCTTGCCGTGCTCAGGCGCGGGGTCTCGAGAGGGCCAGAGACGAGAGCGGCGCGTTACAGACTTTAATCTTGCCCAAGCCTCGGGACTATGGGGCGCGTGGAAGGACTGAGGCAAACCGGAGCGTGGGGGGCGTGGGCATGTGCCTCCATCGCACCGGGCTGGCGGCTATGGAATCCGAGTGGCTGGGGTGGCCGTGCTCACTGGGGGCCCTCATCACCCACAAGGAGGGGGGGACTCGGCATTCTCAGGCAGGAGGCACTCCTGGCCCCTTAAGATCCATCTGACGGGGGCTTGGAGTCCTTGGCATCCAGTCTCCATCGGGAGGGGATCCACGCCTGCCAGGCCACGGTGGGGATGGCGTGTCGCTTCTGCCACACCAGCGCCCCGAGCCCGAGCAGGACGAGGATGGTGCACGTGCGCAGGCGGGAGTTGACCAGGGACAAGGGGCAGGCACACACGGTGGAGACGAGGACCAGGAGGACAGTGGCCAGCGTGAGGAGCAGGCTCATGAAGATGAACAGAAACTCCCTGGGGCGGCTTCGGAGGTTCTCCGTCATCTCCAGCTGAGCGACTCGCTCCAGAGCTTCTAGTCTGGAGATTCGGCTCTTGAAAGTTTCCATGACTTCCTGCAGGCCACAAAAACACAGCTGGTTGGCACAAGGCAGCACAGAACGCGCAGCCACTCAATGGAGCTAGTGGCAGGTGTGTGTGTGTGTGTGTGTGCGCACGTGCAAGCAGCACAGCTGCGCTGGCTCTTTTTGGACAGACAGGGAGACTCAGAGCTGCTGTGAGAGGCCAGCATCCCTTGTCTCCCGACCCGGAGGACCTGCTCCCCACGGCCATGGGGCTGGCAGAGGGTGGGGTGGCGGGAAGCCAGATACAAGGCGGGCATTCTGTCCCCATCCCAGGTCTTGGAGTCACAGACTCTGGGCTGGGCTCCAGCAACAGCTTTGGACTGTGAGACCTGCACAGCCCAAGTTCCCAAAGCAGCTGAGCTGAATGGTACGGAGGGGAGCCCGGTGGAGGCTGGGCGCTGCCTGCCCTGCAGCAACAGTGTGTGTTGCCCTGGAACTCTCGCGAGGGGGTGGCGGGAGGCTGTGGCTCTGGCCTCAGTCTGGGCTATGGGAAGAGGGGTGCTCCTTCTTCCATCGTTCTCACTGGCCTCAGAGGGCGCCTGCAGCCCAGCCCACATTCTCACCCATATCTCCTTGGCTCTCTCATAGGACAAATAGGCCATTTTCTCTTCAGTGGCGGCCAGGCTCTGCTTGAGGTGGTAAATCTCATCCAGGTGCCCCTGCAGGTGCTCATTCACCTGCTCTTCCAGCACTGCTCGTCTTAGAAACAAAAGAGAAAGCGCTCCTCCCTCAGCACCTTGCCCAGAGCCCGCGCCGACAGGAGCACCCCTCACTAGACTGCGGTGTGATGCCGCTTTCCCCCGCTTGCCCTGGGGCCAGGCATGGGCTGCCCCCTCCTCCGGGGTCTCCTAGGAATCCCCCAAACTCCCATCAGTCTCACACACACACACACAGACACACAAGCCCATATTCAGGCATATTTTCTATATACTTACTGTTTAGTACGAGTTTTACAAAAAGCAGGTGTAGAAGGGAAGATCTAAACTATCTGTGTCTGCTATGGAATTCCACAAACATGCAGTAGCAGAGTTCAGCATGCGCTTATAGAGGGCCACACAGCGCACGACTCCGTGCATGCGGAATGTAGAAGGGGCCCCTCTGTAGAGCCACAAGCAGATGAGTGGGCGCCAGGGCCTGGGGCCAGGGTTTCTTCTGGGAACGGTAAACATCTTGTGGGGTTAGATAATGGTGCTGGTTGAAGCAGGACAAAAAAAGTTGGATTGTGGAAATGATTGCACAACTCAGTAAATTTAATAAAGATCAGTGAAATGCAGTTAATGTTGAGCACATTGTGACATGTAAATTATACCTCAACAGAGTTGTGAAAAAAAAACACAAGCAAAACATCATCACTTATTGTGCATAGAAATATATGACTAATGAAATTATTTTTAAAAATGTGTGAAAAAGGGGCCAGCGCTGTGCTGTAGCAGGTAAAACTGTCACCTGCAGTGCCGGTATCCCATATGGGCACCAGTTCAAGTCCCGGCTGCTCCACTTCTGATTCAGCTCTCTGCTATGGCCTGGGAAAGCAGTGGAAGATGGCCCAAGTCCTTGGGTCCCTGCACCCACGTGGGAGACCTGGAGGAAGCTCCTGGCTCCTGGCTTCAGATCGGCGCAGCTCCGGCTGTTGCAGCCAATTGGGGAGTGAACCAGCGAATGGAAGACCGCTCTCTCTCTGCCTCTCCTTCTCTGTGTGACTCTAACTTTCAAATAAATAAATAAATATTTTAAAATGTATGAAAAATATAAGCACCCAAGTGAAGACAGTGAGGTGGACAGGGATGAGGTTAGGGAGCGGTAAACAGTTTCAGCTGAATCTTCTACAGTCTTATTTCTTTAAAAAATAGAAGCTATGGCAAATGTGAAGCTTCGGGACAGCTGGGGCTTCGAGTGTTTCATCACCTACACACTCTTTTGCACATCCATATTTGGGGACAGTGAAGGACAGGTCAGAAGGACAGGGGCCAGGCTGGGGGGGGGGGGCTCTGGCACCATCATTTAGGGCAATGGTCAGACACGTTTGACACCAGCTGCGGGAGGCGGGGCACTGCAAAAGAGGGAAGGCACCCAAGAGCCCTGGAGCCCACAGAATGGCAGGGGAGCCCAGGAGGAGGGTGCAACGTGGGTGGTACTCACACAGAGGCAGGGAGGACAAGCCAGGGCCTCCCTTCAGTCCTGCTCCCAGGATTTGCTTGACAAAGCTGTGGAGAGGTCCCCTACTTAGCTAATAAGCTCACTGCTTATTTGTGGAAAAGCAACACATGAAAAGCCACTTCCTAATAGCAATGCATGAATTGTGTCCTTTGTCTCTGCCCTGAGTCCCTGTCGAGAAGTGGGCCTGGGCTACTGCTCACAGACACAGGGAGGCAGCAGGGGGTCCAGGACGCAAACAGACTCTTTGATACTCTTTCCATTAACACAAAGGACCTGGCCCCCGAGAATGTTCACCACATGGACTCTGCCCACGTGCATATTCATGACAATGCTCCTCATGCAGTCAAAGAATAGGTTGTGCACCAATCCAAGAATATGTGACTGTATTCCTGAATAGATTATTGAGTAAGAAGATGTTCATCTGGGCCGGCACTGTGGCAAAGCGGGTAAAGCCGCCACCTGCAGTGTTGGCATCCCATATGGGTGCTGGTTTGAGTCCTGGCTGCTCCACTTCCGATCCAGCTCTCTGCTACGGCTTGGGAAGCAGTGGAGGATGGCCCAAGTGCTTGGGCCCCTGCACCCGCATGGGAGACCAGGAGGAAGCTCCTGGCTCCTGGCTTCGGATCGGTGCAGCTCCAGTCATTGTGACCATTTGGGGAGTGAGCCAGTGGCTAGAGGACCTCTATCTATCTATCTATCTATCTGTCTATCTGTCTATCTGTCTATCTGTCTATCTATCTCTGCCTCTCCTTCTCTAACACTTTCAAATAAATAAATCTTAAAAAGAAGATGTTCATCAATGATATTTTCATAAAGACATTCCTCAGCCTCCCCTCCTCTCCACCCCCAGGTCCTTTCCCTCCAACATGACTGACTCCTCCCTCTCTCTCACTTCTTTGATCAAGGACCGCTGTCTGTCCAATACCTCTAGCCAAAGAGGCAAATGGAACACTCTGGAAAATGTTTATTTGTCGACTAAAACATCCCCAAATATCCAAATATCCCCAAGCTGTTAAGATCACCCTCTCCCATACAGCTTGTCCTAAACTTAACTGTTTTTTCAAAGGAGTAAATTCTTTTTCTTAAAGGGAGATTTTGATTGAGTTCCAAGCTCCAGGTTTTGACCTGGTCCAGTGCCAGTTGTTGCAGGCATTTAGGGAGTCACAGAGTAAGGGAGGGAGGGAGAAAGAGAGAGAGATTGGAAATCTTCCATCTGCTGGTTCACACCACAAATGGCCGCAAAGAGCCAGGGCTGGGCCAAGCTGAAACCAAGAGTCAGGGACTCCATGCAGGTCTCCCATGTGGGTGGCAGGGACCCAGGTACTTGAGACATTATCTACAGCCTCCCTGGTGTATTAGCAGGAAGCTGGATTGGAAGCAGACGTGGAACTTGATCCCAGGCACTGCGATATGGGATGTAGGTGTCCCAAGGAGCAGCTGAACCCACTGCACCACAACACCGGCCCTGGCGGTGTATTCTTGATCACCTCTGAGAACTGGCTTTCAGCAAGTTAAGCTAGAACATAACGTAACGGCCGGCAACCTAGAAGAGAAGTGAAGACGGAGGCGTGAGCACAGCAGGGCTCGAGGAGCACAGGTGTGGGCAGGTGTCCTGAGATGGGCGAGCTCACCTGAACACACGTGCAAGTGGGAGCACCAGGGAGTAGCGTCGAGCCACCCAAGGAAAAGCCCAAGTGACAGGAAACCGCCAGAACAGTGGGGCCGCCTGGGAGTCAAGGTTAGCAAATGTTTGAGGGTAGAATGGTGAACAGTATCAAATATAACTGGACAGTCAAGCAAAGTAAGGGGGGCAGAGTGACAACTGACTGTCGAGATGAAATCCATTCAGGAACTTGGGGTGACCAAGCCCTGTGGAGTGGGAGACAGGAGTTGGAAAGAACTCCACAAAAGTCTGACTGGGAAGGGAAGACCATGTTTAATCATAGAAAGAAAGACTCCAAGAAACCACCTAGGATGGCAGACATACGACAGAGAGACTGCACTTCCAAAGTCCCCAAAGAGGGTGACAGGGAATGAAAGCTGTGACCCAAAGAAAGAGACATATTCTGGGTGGAGGTGATGAGGGGTGCTGGGAAACTGCCTCCCCCTACTTCCTCCTTGAAGTCAGAGAGGTTGAAGGTGAGAAGCACAGGGTCCAGGGAAGAACACGAGGCCAAGAGGAAACTTGTAGATGCAAGGGAAATGATTCAGTGCACTGGTTCTGAGTCAAGTTGCCCCAGATTTAAGTCTCCTCTCTGGCACCTGCTTGAACATGTCATTTAGCCTGCGCTCCAGAGAATTAACAAAACAGCAGTAACGATAACACCATCAACCCATTGTGTTTGTTTTCGGTATTAAGCAGATAGTACATTAAGAGCACTGACTTGCTGAGTGGCAGATAGAGATGGACAGGTGGTCCCCCTAGGGAGAGGGTATAAACTGTGGAAAAGGCCTAGGCTGAGGCACACACACACATATGAAGGTCAAGTGGAAGAGGATAAACCAGCAAGAGCCTGAGAGGAAAGCCAGGGGACAGTGGTGCCACAGAAGCTCAGGATGAGCAACGTTCATTTATTTTTAAAGACTGATTTATTTACTTGGAAGGCAGAGTTACTGAGACAGAGAGAGAGAGAGAGAGAGAGAGAGAGAGAGATCTTCCATCCGTTGGTTCACTCCCCAAGTGGCAGCAGTGGCCAGGGCTGTGCCAGGCTGAAGCCAGGAGCCTGGAACTCCACCCAGGTCTCCCATGCAGGTGCAGAGGCCCAAGCACTTGGGCCATCTTCCACTGCTTTCTCAGGTGCATTAACAGAGAGCTGGATCAGAAGTGAAGCAGCCAGGACTTGAACCAGTGCCCATGTGGGATGCTAGTATTTCAGGTGGCAGCTTTACTTGGTACACTACAACACCAGCCCCAGTGTTTTTGTTTTATTTTTAAAGGAAGGATCAACAGTTTGGAAAACTCTGGCGAGGTTAAGTGTATTCCTAACATGGATGCCTTCCACAGTCTGTGCCAGAGTCAAGGAAGGGGTGGAGCATACGAAGCAGAGAACAATGGCTGGAGGTGGACAAGAATCTTGAAACAGTTCTTTTGGTTGCCTTTTTTTAAAGATTTACTTATTTATTTGAAAGTCAGAGTTACACACAAAGAGAAGGAGACTCAGAGAGAGAGAGAGAGGTCTTCCATTTGCTGGTTCACTCCCCAATTGGCTGCAATGCCTGGAGCTGCACCAATCCGAAGCCAGAAGCCAGGAGCTTCCTCTGGGTCTCCCATGCGGGTGCAGGGGTCCAAGCACTTGGGCCAGCTTCTGCTGCTGTCTCAGGCCATAGCAGAGACTGGATCAGAGGTGGAGCAGCCAGGACTTGAACTGGTGCCCATATGGGATGCTGGCACTGCAGGCAGTGGCCTAACCCACTATGCCACAATGCCGGCCCCATTTTGGTTGTTTTAACTTAAAAAAATATTTTAAAATGTATTTGTTTATTTGAGAGAGGCAGACACAGAGAAAGCTCCCATCTGCTGGTTCATTCCCTAAATGCCTGCA